CAACCGGACGTTTAAAACTTTCTCCATTCGAACTCTTATTCGGGAGACCTCCTCCCGTCTACAACACTTTATTCCCACTATCAGAACTGGAGCTGGGGGAAGCAGAACTTACTAATTATGTTATTCAGCTTCAGACACAACTACAGCGTCTCCACCACTACGCGGCCATCGAGGGACAGAACCTGCCCATCGACGTCCACGCTCACTCCTTCCACCCTGGTGACTGGATCCTCGTCAAAGTCTACCAGAAGGAACCACTCCAACCCGCGTGGGAAGGTCCCTACCAAGTACTCTTGACATCGCCAACCGCCGTGAAAATAGGTGAGAAGAATTCTTGGTTACATCACACTAGGTGCAAGTCTTCACCCCCTCCACCGGAGACTGAAGAAAGCAACGGCGAGGACTTCACCTTTTCGACTCCACCTGCTCCACCGGCCTCATATATTGACGACGACGACCAACAGACCGGACTGGATCGGGGCCAAGTTCGGGCCCAACAGACCGGACCAGCAGATCGGGGCCAAGGTCGGGCCCAACAGACCGGACCAGCAGATCGGGGCCAAGGTCGGGCTCAACAGACCGGACCAGCAGATCGGGGCCAAGGTCGGGCTCAACAGACCGGACCAGCAGATCGGGGCCAAGGTCGGGCTCAACAGACCGGACCAGACACCGCGACACCCAACTGGACGTCTGAAATCATCCCAGATACCAACACCATCAAGCTACGTTTCAGACGCGCTGACAGCCACATCTGACAGCTCCGTTTGACAGCTCCATTGACAGCTTGCTTCGTTGATAGCTTCGCCTTTTGACAGTTCATCTGACAGCTCCGTTTGACAGCTCCATTGACAGCTTGCTTCGTCGACAGCTTCGCCTTTTGACAACTCATCTGACAGCTTCATTTGACAGCTCCATTTAACAGCTTCCTTTGATAACTTCACTCTACAGCCTCGCCCTACCTAACACCTTTGTTCGTTAGACCATCTGCGCCCTCCCTACACGCATCCGAACCATGGGTCTGCTTGGCACCGCCCTTCTCCTCGCTGCCCTATCCTCGGTCGCGTCCATCTCATCAGACCACTGCACGGGCTTGCAAACGAACTACCACTTCTTGGACTATCATGAGGTCGAGACGGGAAGGTCAAACCCTGATCGAATGGGGGACTTTGATTTCTGCCTTCCTGAGTCCCGAACCCTGCTGCGCCATTCCCTAGTTCCCCAACTCGCCGAAAACGAATATTGGGAACTTTTTATCCGGAACAAGGATTTACACCGCATCGGCTCTGCGGCTCTCACTCTTGACCACTCCTCTTACCGGCTGACCTGCAGAAATGGGACTTATCTTCTTTACGAGAGTGGAGAGGTCTCACAAACCCCAAATTGGACCGAAGTCGAGACAGGAGGGGCTACTCACGCTTATACGCAATCAAGCCACCCCTCTGGAAACTTGATTTTCGGGTTCCAATGCCTCCGCTCCACCCCAGAAACCCGAAAGCCCCAACTCCAAGGACTCTGCCTGCGACGGTTCTGCTGTTTATGGGACTTAGGGGTCACTCATGAGTGGAAAGGGGCTGAATATCTCGAAGGATGGCACCACCCTATACACCCCTCACTCTCCCCCTCCTGGGACCACGTCGGACCCCTGCGATGCGGCGGGATCGCCAGAGATAGGCGACTACTGAACACCACCGACCCCCTCCATCCGGTTGGTACGGCACCCCGACAATTCGGCACTGACTCGGCACTCCCGGGAGAAGATCTCCTATCATCTTGGGAGCAGAACTCCTACATTAAGCTTCTCAGCCAGGTGGCGAAGGAGTCACCCTACCCGGACTGCTGGATTTGCGCCCACGCACCCAGCCATCTCCAACAGAGCCTCCCACTGGTCCCTGTACCTGTGACCCTAGAACAGTTCCGTTCCGGAAATGTTACCTCCTGGAACTTGACCGCACTCAACTTAACACATCAATACCTCTACCTCACCGGCCCCACAAAGGGACCCCTTTGCCGCAGCTTCTCAGGGGAAGGAACCTTCATCGGATCCAGTACATGCACCAACACTCTAGAAATCCTACCAACTGGACTGGTCACCGTCTCCAACACTAGGGACTCCCGGACTTTTCCTAACCTTACTGTGGCCTGGGCCGCTGCGGTCGGACACCCCTTGGACTGGAAGCCACAACCCACAGACACCATGCTGCTGCAAACTTTTGCCTCAGGCCGAATGGAATCTTACCTCAGCGGCCTATTCTGGGTGTGTGGACACCGCGCTTACACATGGGTGAGCCCACACATGTCCGGATCCTGCTTCATTGGCTACATCGTTCCCGGAATTAGAATAGTACCACACCTACCCCCTGGAAGACAACGAAACAAAAGGGAGCAAAAGGAGCTGTCAGATCTGTCAGATGTCGCTGCAAATGGAGAGACCGTAGGCCGGTCGCTTTTCCCCGCCTACGGTGCCGGTTCAAATCATGTGGATATTCTCCGACTCACCGACATCCTCCTTAAGTTCATGCAGGAGGCGACTCAGATCACAGACTCTCTCATGTCGGAACTATCCGAGGTAAGACAATTGAGCCTACAGACGAGAATCGCGACAGACTTCCTCTTGTCCAGTCAAGGAGGCACCTGCGCATTAATAGGCACAGAGTGCTGCACATATGTGACTGACCAGACCTTGAATATAACTGGACATTTAAATAACATTCATGAGCTAGCAGGGAAGCTCCACGACATCCAGCATGAGGGACTATCCGACGTGGACTTATGGGGATGGTTGCCCAAGCTGGGTTGGCTCAGGCAGTTATTGAAAGTCGTGGTGTTCATCATTTTAACTGTTTTCCTTTGTGTCTCCATCCTCTGTTGTACTATGCATTGTATTACCCCTTGCTGCTCTTTCCTCCGTCATTCTGCCTCTCCTAGCTCCTTCCCTCTTCGAGCCTATTCCCACTCCCGACATGCTCCCACTTTCCCGGACTACGTACGGATGAGGCATTTGGGAGAAGGGGAATATGAGATCACCGAAATTTGATGCTCCAATGGTGCGGAGAAAGGATTTGCAAGTTCTTACAGAACTTTAATGCAAATCTATCTCCGAATGGGGGACTGATACGGACCGGGAAAGGGGGGGGTACCTCCTTTCCCCTTCTCCTTTGAACAACCGAGGCGATGACCTCGAGGGTGCCCACAATGCACCCACCCTCAGCCCCCCTCACCGTTACACAAGCACCACACGTCTCCCGTCACCCCCTTTTCCTTCTTTCTTTCTGGAGCGAAATAAGCTCAAATATATGAACATATCCTCCTATCTCTTCCTATGGCTATTCGCGCTCCATTCTCAGAACGGGTAGACCTGGCGTTCCAGCTTCTCCGCTAATTCCTATGGCTGCGCCTTAGCCAATCACAGCCATGCATTTATCCTGCACGAGCTAGCTCACGGAGCCCTTGCACGCCTCGTTGAGCCTACTGACAAGCTGCTGACGGCCCCCCACGGAGAGAACAATGGATCCGAAACCAAGGGCCTCGTAAAGCTGTCAAAATGTATCCATTCTTGCTACAATGTATCCATTTTGTTTCCACTTTCAATTACCAATACGGAATAGGTCAGACAGCATAGGAAACCTTAGGAAACCTTTAGAAATTGATATAAAATCAACCGTAACTCCGATTTCTTTCCTTTTGGTGTCATTCAACTCGGCTCCCTATGGACTCCATGATGCTGCCCCTACCTCCATGATCCCCTGAGCGACAGGTCACGTACTCAGGAAGACCTTAATCCTGTCAGATCGTTCTGCCATACCCTTCCTCCGGGCGATGCCAGGTGGCAGACGATGCATATCTCCGCCATTGTCTTCCCATCACCTGTACTCAGGAAACGCTTATCTGTGTTTATCTGTGCATATCTCTTACTCTGCATATTTCCCCCCTCCCTTCCTGAAATGTTAATCCATGTAATCCCACCTTCCTATAATGTATTCATGATGTAACCTGGAAAACCCAGCCTTCTTTTAATGTATTCATGACGTTTTGTTGCACTGTATTCTGGGACTTGGAGGGAACTTTTAAAAGTTTATGTCGCCCCATGCTCGGGGTTCAATTCCACTTTGAACCTGTTGCGCAATAAACTTGGATCTTCGCATTTTGCTCCTGCGTCCGGCTGAGCTTCCTTTTCTTCCGCTAAGAATCCACGGACTTGGTCCGATTGGCTGGGTGGCAGGGTAAATACGCACCCAGATTTCCGTAACAATAACAATGCCAAATTATAATACAATTCCTAATACAAATCATTCAAATACCAAATTATAAAATTTAGGTGGCCCCCCGCATGCTAGAATTGATGGTTTGATGATTTACTTTGTTCCTGCATTCCAAAATTGATTTCATTTACGGTACATTCCCATCATGATAGTAATCCCTTATACAACAGCTGCAATATTTATCACTTCTATTCGTGTTAACACATTAAGTAATTTATAAGACTGCAAGTGAAGATCTCATACAGCATCGTTTTTAAATTGAATTTTATTATTTTTATTATCATAAAAAGCCAGTTTGGGAGGATCCAATGCAGTGCATGCACCCGTTTTAGAAGACTCCAGATGGTCGAGGTCCAGCTTCTATGCTCCAAGGGAGGATAATTTTACATACGCAACGGCAGGAACCCTAATCGAGCAGTGGAATGGGTTGCGACTTGGTAAACTCTCTCAACTCTCTGCAAGGAGAAAACTAGCATACAGAACTTGGGCTCCATTGGATATTTGGCGGGGGCGGCGCGGTGAAACCAGCAAGGCTTCCCCGCAAACTTTGCATCCTAGCCCTGCTGTTTTCATTCTCCCCCAGAGCCAGGCGCTTCTTGCCTGGTTTGCTAGCTTTCTCCTTGCGGGGAGTCGCGTCCGTTGCATGCGCGGGGCGGGGCGGGGCTGGCCTGGCTTCCTCTCCCCGCCCCCCCCAAAGGAAGCTGCTGCGCAAGGCGGAGTCTGTTAGGCTCGCGCGCGCCCCGAGAAGCGGGGCGGGGGCGGGGGCGGGGGAGCGGGCTCGCGCGCACGTGGCCGCGCGCTCCCGATCAGCGCGGGCACCATTGGCGCCGCCCCTTCGCTTGCCTCTCTGCCTTCTCCTCCCGGCGCTTCCCGCACAAGACGCGAGGAAGAGGATGCCGAGCGCCGACGCCAGCCTGACCCCGCAGGTGCACTGGGCGCAGCGGCACCACCAGCTCTACCTGCGCGTGGAGCTCAGCGACGTCCAGGTGAGCGCCTGGCCCGGTGGGCTGCGGAGCCGGGGGGGTGGGGAGGTCAGGTAGGTGTCGGTCCCCCCTCCCCATAACACGCAATCTCTCCTGCGGCCTTTCCCACCTCCACTCCTGCCCAAGGGATTCTGGGGCAGCCTCTCTTCTCCCCACCCTCCCGGGTGCCCTATAGATACCCCACTTCCCGGGGGGCCGCAGGTGCTTTATTTGATGCCCAATAAAGCACCCCCCCAAAAAAAAAAAATTCCTTAGAGCGACAGGTACGCCCGCAGGTGCTTCCACGGCGAGGTATTCGTGCTCCTTGATCGCCACCGATCCCCATTTGGCCGAGGAGCGTTTTGGGGGTGCTTTATTGGGCATCATTGGGCAGGCCCCAGGCTGTTTGCAGAGGAGGCTTCAGGGCCATGCAAGTTAATAATGCAATCATCGTTCTTTAGTAACATGGTGTGCATGCCGGTTTTGCCCGGAGGGATCCACAGGGGCAAGTGGGTGTGCAAAGGTGAAGGGAGAAAGCAAGTTATTATCTCTTCGATCTGGTTGGTTCCCTGTGCGCATGTGTGCATACCACCTACATTTAACACACCTACATTTGACACAGCATACAGTTAACACACATTCCTCTCCCCTGCAGATAATCCTGGGAATTGTAGTCCGTCCCCCCCCAGGGTGCTGGGAGCTGTAGTTCTGCAAGGAACTAAAGACTACAGTTCTCAGGATTTTGCACACCTTAGCACACTTTTCCCTTTTACAACCCTTCTCCTACAGGAAAGTTTTCCCCATAAATCCTGCACTGGTCTCCGGCGCTATAAGGGTATTGCTAAAAACTTTTGATTTGATTAGATTTATAGCATTTCGATGCCGCTTTCCATTCAGAGAAATCTCATTTTATGAATACATATTGGGTGTTGTGATTAATTTATGTTTGTAAAATCATTCAAATACATCTCAAAGTGTCTGACAAAAAAAATAACAAAACGAAAGAGAACCTCCCAAATACAGCACAAATAATATAAAGCAAATAAAACAATTACAATCTGTAAAGCACTCTTAATGAAACAGCAGCTAAAAAATAATAATCTAAACATCACGGCTGCAGCAAAAACTCTATTATATGATCCGTAATTCAATACACCATTTATAATCTATAAATCAATGTTAACAACATTACTGAAAAGCGTACACTAAGCACAAGTCCATACACACACTTTCCACGCCCCCGTGACTCATATTCTTTCACACTTTTCAGTTCGTTAAAATACACATAATGTTAAGCCTCATTGTGGAGATAGTGAGGTTTGGGGGGTTGGTGACAGCATTATGCCCTTTTCACCCTCCTTGTGGAGTTCCTGCTCCTCCTTTTTGTGTAATAGGGGAGAAGAAGCTATGCTTTATTCCCCCCCCCCTCACCTGCAACACATTGCAGCTTTGGTGACCCATTTCTGTAGGGCCCCCGTCCCTATATGTCTCACATTAGGCTTCTGAAGGCCCTATTATTTTATAGGGAACATGCCATCAAGGCTTTTCCCCTAAGCGCCTGACCATGGTTTTAAAAAAAAATTATTATAATTATTACATTTATATGTAAATTTTATAATTTCCGCCAAGGAACTCAGGGTGGTATACATTGTTCTCCTTCCTCTGCGTTTTATCATCACAACAACCTGTGAGGTAGGGTATTCTGAGAGTAAGCCCAAAGTCACCCCACAAGCATAGCTGTCAACTTTTCCCTTTTCTTGTGAGGAATCCTATTCAGAATAAGGGAGTTTCCCTTTAAAAAAAGGAGAAAGTTGACAGCTATGCCCACAGGCTTCATGGCTGAGTGGGGATTTGAATAAAAGTATGTACTTTCCCATTCCAAGCTGTGATGAACAGCAGCTTAGAATCTGCTGGGATAAAAGCATGATAAAATTACCATTATGCCGTCCTCTGCAGATCCCTGTCTCTGATAGTCTGCTTCTATTATTATTATTATAATATTATTATTATTATTATTATTATTATTATTATTATTATTATTATTATTACCCTTCATCTGCAAATACAAAATAAAAGCACAAAATACATGATAAAACCAGGAACAAAACCACCACAAACTAGTAACACCCCTTTATCAGATCCATTACGGCTCTTTTTCTTTTGCCTCTTTCTCTGCAGGATCCTGACATCACAATTACAGACAATGTGCTCCATTTCAAAGGTAGGTCAGTTTTGTTGTGTTTTCATGATTTTTTCTGGAAGAAAATGGCTATGGGATCTTGCTGTGGCAAGATTTTACGCAGTAGATGGCAATTTAGTATCGATAAATAATATGTAATATCCTTTTTTAAAATCACTATTTCCTCCTGACTTTTGTTAAACTTTTGCTTTGGGGGGTGGGGAAGGAGAAGCCGTGTTTGCATTTTAAAAGCGTTATTTTTTTTGTCACAAGGCCTAAAACAACTGAGCTCTTGACATAAAAGCCACTACTGTATCTGTAAAATTAACATGACTTTGGAGGCTTACGCTCCATCTTTCCCCTCCTGTGCCATAATTTCAAACAAAATTCAACCTATTTGAATAATAGCAGTGAAATTCCCCCCCCCCCCATCTATTGAGTTGATTGTAAGCCCTGCTAATAATGGTCTCTCTCTTTCAAAACATCTTGTTTACTGTTGCTGTTGCATAAGGAACTGACATTCAAATTTGAAAGATAAGTGGATGCAATGCAAATGTTTGTTTGGTTTTTATTTTGATCTTCTGATTCCTCATCATGGATTTGCCTTATGTCTAAAAACTTGTAAGAGCAATGCATTGCATTACTTTAAAAAAAACAAAAAACCCCAACCCAAATCCTGTCTTTGAATGAGATTAACTCATTATTACATAGAGGGGTGTGTGTGTGTGTCCACTTACACACCATACATTTAAAGTACTATGATACCACTTTAAACACTAATGGCTGCTCCCCAAGAATCCTGGGAGCAGTAGTTCGTTAAGGGTGCTGAGCGTTGTGTAGAGATTCCCTTGTTTCCCTCACAGAACTACAATTCCAGAATTTCCTGTGAAGAGGAATTGATTGTTAAACCATTCTGGGAATTATCACTCTGTGAGGGGAAAAGGGGCCTCCTACTCATTCTCAGGGGACACAGGTGGCGCTGTGTGTACAGCCTAGGACTTGCTGATCAGAAGGTTGGCGGTTCAGATCCCTGCGACGGGGTGAGCTCCTGTTGCTCGGTCCCTGCTCCTGCCAACTTAGCAGTTCGTAAGCACGTCAAAATACAAGTAGATAAATAGGTACCGCTCCGGTGGGAAGGTAAACGGTGTTTCCGTGCGCTGCTCTGGTTCGCCAGAAGCGGCTTAGTCATGCTGGCCACATGACCCAGAAGCTGTGGGCCAGCTCCCTCGGCCAATAAAGCGAGATGAGCACTGCAACCCCAGAGTAGTCTGCGACCGGACCTAATGGACCTTTACCCCTTTACTCATTCTCAGAACCCTTAACTAACTGCAACTTCCAGAATATGGCCTGTGGGGGGGCACACTTACCACATTAAAATGCAGCATTATTATTATTATTATTATTATTATTATTATTATTAGTTGTTGTTGTTGTTGTTGTTGTTGTTGTTACTATTTATTGGACTTGTTAGTTGCTTGTTACCCAAAGGTCTCCAAGTGACTAACAACACATTTAAAAACATAAACATAACTATATTAAACAATTAAAACAAAGCAAAAATGACCCCCATAACAAAGACAAGAAGCTTGGGCAGCCTTTACCTGGTTCTGAAAGATGTCAATGAAGGTGCTAGCCATGATGAGGACAGAAGTGAACTCTTGTCAATTTTAGCAGTTCCTTGACACCAGGCTTGATATGTGGTGGGTTGTGCTTGGATGCCTACAGAGGGCCAAGTCCTGGTGTTTCCGATTTATCTTTTACCTGATTTAAAAAAAAAAAATGCAGGAAGGACAGACGGACAATTAACCTGGAAAGCCTTCTGAGAAATGGAGCTGTCATTCAGTTGCAGAGTTGTACCACTTCCTGCAATTCTCAAGTAGATTTCTTACTTCTGCTTGTTTTTCTTCCTAGCTCAAGGCCATGGAGCCAAGGGAGACAACGTGTATGAATTTCAAATTGAGTTCCTGGCACCAGTGGACCCGAAGGTAACGGCTTCTGGTGTTTTCCTTCAGCTGAATTACAAGGCCAGTGCTCTGACCAACAGGTGGACGGTGCTTTGGAGTTTTGTCTCTCATGGGTGGTTTTCTGCGTATACCTCTGCAACCTTCAGAGTTCCCCTGAGTACGCTTATACTCAGAACTTCCTCTGTGACGGTACTCACTGGTACAGAATATTAATTTTATTCCCTCCCCCCTTACATTTACATCCCACCTTTTTTTCCAAGGAGCTCAGACTTCTCCTGCTTTCTATTTTATCCTCACAGCAACCCTGTGAGGCAGATTAGGCAGAGAGACAGTGACTGAGCAGGGATTTGAACCCTGGTCTTCCAGGTCCCAGTCCAGCACTGTAACCATTACACTACAGAGGCTCTCACTTCTTTTTGCTGCTTATTGTAGCCATTTTGTGCTGGACCAACAGCACTTTTATCAGGATATGAGTACTGATAAAACCTCATTTTTTAACTTAAAAAGCAGTTCTTATACCTGTAGCAATCGCACAACTATCCATCCCCCCTTGACCAGTCCTCCAAATGCCGGCCGGACCTGGCAGGGAGAGGGGTAGTTACGCGAGGTGTTTCAAGTCACAAAACAAATCGTAAGCTGCCATCACCTCCTCTCCTGGGTCAACCCTCAAATGGGGTCCAAGGAGGAGAACCCCCCTTCAGTATTTATTAGGTTGCCCAGCTCTGTGTCACTTAACTGTGACGCAGACAGAAATCCAACAGGTCGTGTGTACTAAGTGATCAAGCACCAGTTCAGCTTCTCTGGGCAAAAGGCACAGAATACAGAAAGGCAAAAGTCCTTTTCCAAATTTATTGAAAAAGCTACTCAAAGAGTAAAAGCCTGCACATTTCTTAAAAGGTTACAAACAAGAAAAATAACAACATAATATCACTAACTAAAACATACTCACAAGTAATCAGTAGTTCGAAGCATAGTAAGAAGTCACAAAGGCCGGTTCTTCTGGTCAAACGCCCTCAGGCGAGCACCAGGGCAAGGTAGTCTGCAATTTGCATCTGAATTCCCCATACCTTTATCCTTGGAATACAGGTTTGGGAACCAATCGTTTCTTTGGGTTAATTACCAATTTGCCAATGGCTGTATGATGAGACAAGAACTCCTGATTGTCAGAAGACCCACACAGCTGAACTTTGTTTATTCTCAGAGACCTTGAGATCAAAAGGCTCTCCTTTCATTCCCAAACTTCTCTGACCCATACCAGGCTCTTGAGCTGTAAATTACCTGATAGCCTTTTGTAACTTTTCACACTCCATCCACATTCAAGCCCTCAGCTGTGCCAGGATCTGCAAACCAGATAACATAGCATCCCACCTAGAGTCAAGAGTCAATTTGATCTACACTTCTAAAGACAGGGAGTTTTACAGTTAAAGAGACCAGATCTCTATTTCCCAGAAATCCACAGTTTTAACTCTCCCACAATGCATCATGCCTACATGAACCAAAGTTTAACATACTAAGATTTCCCAATTTCACTGTTGTTGTTGTTGTTGTTTAGTTGTTTAGTCGTGTCCGACTCTTTGTGACCCCATGGACCAGAGCACGCCAGGCACTCCTGTCTTCCACTGCCTCCCTCAGATTGGTCAAACTCATGCTGGTAGCTTCGAGAACACTGTCCAACCATCTTGTCCTCTGCCGTCCCCTTCTCTTTCCCAACATCAGGGTCTTTTCCAGGGAGTCTTCTCTTCTCATGAGGTGGCCAAAGTATTGGAGCCTCACCTTCAGGACCTGTCCTTCCAGTGAGCACTCAGGGCTGATTTCCTTCAGAATGGATAGGTTTGATCTTCTTGAAGTCCACGGGACTCTCAAGAATCTCCTCCAGCACTACAATACCTCTTGTTTCTCAGTGGTTCCCATCTTGAGTTTGCTGTTTCAGAGAATGATGGTGTGGCCATGCAGCTATGTAGATAAGATCAGCATGTGGGATTGCTCAGTGGTTTTTGCAACTCTGAAATTCCAGTCAGCACTGTTTGTGTGATAAGCCAGAATCCTGTGCGTAGGTTGTGGTATTAGCCAATGAAGTTGGCTAATGCTTCCTGCCTCGGGCAAGAACCTGCTCTGCCTACATGCCAGCATCCTAGAGCTACCTGCTTCTGCTTATCCTAGAGAGTTCCTTGGAGCCACTTCAGTATCAGATACCTGGCTCAAGTTTCCTGCAGTGCTCACCTAACCGCTTGGATGGGGAAAACTACCTGCCTGGATCTTAATTTCTGCAATCCTCCTGCCTGCAGGGGAACAGAAATGTCAAAGCCCCCTTAGAAGCTGGAGCAATTGTGATTTCTATGCCAAAAGCTCAGTCACAACTATAGAGTTCCAAACCCTGACAAGTGAGAGATAAGAAATTCACCCCAGTCGAGCACACAGATAGGGGCCAGCAGTACACAGAACTGGTTGTACAAAGTGACCCAAACAAGTTATGAAACACAGTGAGGGAAATCTGAAATTAGTCGTGCTCAAAGTAGACCCAATGAAAAATGGGTTTGTTTTGACTAATCCTGGATAGCACCAAATTACTGTGAAGCAAGAGAAGGGATGGCTTCCCAGTCGTAGTCACAGATGTCGATGTGCTACAGAAATCTGCACAGAAACGACTCCACAATTCTTGTCTGTGTAGCCTTGTTCAGTTGTAACCATCATAGTCTGATAAAGAATGGTTTTGGCTGTCAGACTGACAGGCACCTACCTGAAGTATCCTGATGGCCTAAGAGGAAGAGAGCCTTGCTGCTTCCGGTGTGAAATATGGTACATTCTGTGCCAAATCAACAAACAAGGAGTGCACGATAGTCATGAATTTTGTGGGTATTTTGCAAAGTCCGTTACTTATGTCAAAATGTATCTTACAGCAATGGTATTAGTATTACCCCTTATGTCTAGGAGCAGGGCCACACCCCTCTGAAAGTTCATTCAAGGTCGCAGTGCCCTTGATAATTTTTGCCATTGAATGGCAAAATATTCACTGAACATGCTACCTGCAACAGTCGTCGTGGGGCCGTTTCGAGGCTCAGGGTCTCTTTAAACCGCTGCTAAAATGGATATTTGAGCACCCTTCATTTCAGCAATGGAAACTGCTTTCTCCTCCAGGAGTAAGGTGCACACCCAGCCAGGGGCATAGGAAGGGGTGCGGTGGGGGCGGAGCGCCCGGGTGCCCTCACTGAGGGGGGTGACATTCGATGCACTGCCCACCTGTGACTCCCAAACCTACCCCGAGCCATGGGCGGCTCACTCTGCCCCCTGCTGCAGGGCGCGCACGCCTCTCTGAACACCCTAGCAGCTATTCTGCGCCTGGGAAGCCACACACCCCTCTGGAGTGCGCCCCCCTACACAGCGTGGGCATATGCTCTGCCGCTGCACCCAGCACCCATCAGTGCCCTCCAGCTCTTGATTGTACCTTTGAAGGCTTGTCCTTACCTGCATCATGATGTCAGGTGAAAAGAATCCTGTTGGGTAACGGCTTGGGTCACAAATCTGAACATTCAGTTTTAAAAGTTGCGAATTAGTAGCTTGGTGTGGATGCTTTTGCAAAGCCAGGGTAGCCTGTGCTGAGTAGCACTGCAGGTTATCCACAACTGTGCTTGTGTGTGTGTGTGTGTGTGTGATTTTTGGTGAAGTTCTTTCCAGCCCACTGCTTAAAACAAGCTTCCGATCAGAGCTGTTTGATAACGGAACGGTCTCCCTCGGAAGGTGGTGGACTCTCCTCCGTTGGAGGTCTTCAAGCAGAGGTGGGGGCGGGTCTGTTGGGGCCTCTTCAGCTGTGATTCCTGCATTGCAGGGCTTGGACTAGATGAGCCTTGGGGGCTCCTTTCCAACTCCAAATTTCTGTGTGATTCAATCCCGGTGCTCTGTGGTTGTCTTCTTTCAGCCAGCCTATAAAATGACACAGAGGCAGCTGAACATCACCGTAATGAAGAAGGAGAGCCAGTGGTGGGAACGGCTGACGAAGCAGGAGAAGCGGCCGCTGTTCCTTGCTCCAGACTTTGATCGTTGGTTGGATGAGTCGGATGCTGAGATGGAGCTGAAAGCCAAAGTAAGGCCTAGCCAGTGATCTGTCCCATCCCTGCTCCATGAGGACATGTGGGCCTGTCTGCCTGGCTGATGATGGAAACAGACTACAGTGGTACCTTGGTTCTCAAACTTAATCCGTTCCGGAAGTCTCTTCCAAAACCAAAGCGTTCCAAAACCAAGGCTTTCTGTAGAAAGTAATGCAAAACGAATTAAGCCGTTCCAGACTTTAAAAACAACCCCCAAAACAGAAATTTAACATGAATTTTACTATTTAACGAGACCATTGATCCACAAAATGAAAGCAATAATCAATGTACTGTACTAGAAAATAAATAGGACAGTATTGTAGATGATAAAAATTTAAAAAAGAATAATTTCTTAACTGCACTGATGATAGTCATTGTTTGGATGGGGAGCTTTTATCCATTTCCGCAGTCACACAATCAATCAACCAACCAGTCGCTGAACTGGGTTCCACACAGTCACAAAAACAAATTAACCGGAAAAGCCTCAAAAACGCAAAATAAGTAGCAAAAACAAAAGCGCCAAACTTAATCCATTCCGGGAGTCTGTTTGACTTCCGAAAGGTTCAAAAACAAAGGCGCAGCTTCTGATTGGTGCAGGCGTCCCAGAAACAATAGCCGACAACCGCATTGGACATTCGGCTTCTGAAAAAGTTCGAAAACGTTTTCGGCGTTTGAGAACCAAGGTACCACTGTATTGCCAGCCCGTAACTCCAGGCCTGGCGCCATCATTACATGTCTTTTAGGTGCCAGGCCAAAATATTCCTCTTTAACCAGCCCTATGGCTGTTAAATATTCTATGGCCTGTAAAAGTATGGGGGAGTGGAATGATTATTTTATTATCAGGCTATCTGTCACTATGCTTTTTACTCTGTTTTTAATTATGTTTTTAATCAGTGATGTTCTGTAATGTGTTTTTAATGTTGTACGCTGCCTGGAAATCTTTTGATAGAGAGTGGTATATAAATAGAATTAATAATATAATAATTGTTGGTTCCCCATGGCTAGAATGCCCACCAGGAGCTGTGCATCCAATATTGTGGGGCTAGTTCTATGGAACTCCCTTCCAGCTGAAGCCAGGCAGGCTCCCTCCCTGTTGAACTTCTGCCTACTGAAAACCTTTTTATTAAAAAAATATTCCAGCAGGCATTTTAACTGATTAATTCTGATGTAATAGTTCGTTCGAAGTCATTTTTATTTTCATTGGATTGAGTTTATTGTATTTTGCCTAAGAGGCCATTGCAATGAAGTGGTAGAATAAGTTGTCTAAACATTACAGTGAGTGTACGAAGCACTTTGAACTGTGCTATTTTAAATGCTAAGTAGTGTTGTTTTTTGCAAAGGCAGCTTTTGTTAAAGGCAGACAGGACTGCGAGGTGAGTAAGTAGCAACTGCAAATGGAAGGCAGTACTTAGCAGGGACTTTTGAAAAGGAGGAAGAGAGGCAATTTAAAATGAAAGCAAAAATGAAAGAGAATGCCCCAGGCAAGTTGGGGGCTGGAGGGGGAAAAGAGCTGAAACTGGAGGCCATCTGAATTGTCCAACAGACGCCATCACCCAAGAACTGGCTGGCTCAACATCAGCTCACGTTGGATGTTGCCGAGTTGGTTTTTCGGTTTTGTTTTTTGGCAAAGGTCTGTCCCAAAAGTCAGCAGGCGGCTTCCCAATGGCACTAAGGTAAAGGTAAAGGGACCCCTGACCATTAGGTCCACTCGTGACCGACTCTGGGGTTGCGGCGCTCATCTCACTTTATTGGCCGAGGGAGCCGGCGTACAGCTTCCAGGTCATGTGGCCAGCATGACTAAGCCGCTTCTGGCGAACCAGAGCAGCGCACGGAAACGCCGTTTACCTTCCCGCCAGAGCAGTACCTATTTATCTACTTGCACTTTGACGTGCTTTCGAACTGCTAGGTTGGCAGGAGCAGGGACTGAGCAACGGGCGCTCACCCCGTCAAGGAGATTCGAACCACCGACCTTCTGATCGGCAAGCCCTAGGCTCAGTGGTTTAACCCATAGTGCCACCCGTGTACCCCCCAATGGCACTAACACTTGCTAAAAACCCGTCTTGCTCATTTTTTAGGAGGAAGAAAGGGTTAACAAAATCAGCATAGAGAACCGCATCCCCAAAGACCGTAAGTAGCCAGTATCTTTTGTATAATCATTTTGGTAATACTTGTGTGTTTATTAGTCGTCAACGTGTTGCATGAGTCGTACTACAGTATCTTTTGTCTGGCAAACCTTTCTGCGCCAGCAAGATTTCTTTACCGCTCCTCCAATCTCCCTGTTTAGATACCACCCCATATTTTGTGAAGCTGGAGATACGATGGACTGGGAAGACTGGGAACAAGCAGGTCTATATAGACTTAGGGATTTTTGTGTAAATGTTTTCTCCCTACATGAAGAACAGATTTTGGCTAAGATTCGAAATGCAACATGGTCACAGTTTAATTTTAATTGGTTGCTTTTCTTTCTGCTAAAACCATGTACTAGCCATTCAGTCAGACCACGAGTTGGCCGCTTTAGAACAGCTAAACAATTAAACATGAAAAGTGCTGGGATAGCTAAGTCGGTAGTGCATGAGACTCTTAATTTCATTGGGCAAAAGATTCCTGCATTGCAAGGGGCTGGACTAGATTGCCCTCGTGGGTCCCTTCCAAGTCTACAATTCTATTATTCTATAAACTTATGGTCAATGTTCCTGCTACATCAAAGGGTGTAGTATCAACTATACACAAAATATTAATAGAGGTAGAATTTGGCCATCTTATGGCCACAAAAATTCCCTTGGAAACGGACCTTCAAGTAATGAAACCTGCTTTGCAGGGAAAACACATTTTTAAACAGTTCTGGCCCAATTAAGGGAATAGTTTTTGAAACTCTTACATAGGTGGCATCTTTCCCCTTTGTGAATATCCCACATGATACCGGGGCAACATCAACCTGTTGGAGGGGATATGGAGAGACTGGATCCTACAGACGTATGTGGTGGTTTTGCAAATCTTTTAACCCATATTGGGTTCTTGTATTTAAAGAGTTGAGTTTAATATACAAACTGGAGCTGCAGCCTTCCCTCCAACTTGCTTTACTTGGAATTAAAGGACATGTCTGCTCCAGCAGCTGCTCATAAAGACCTTTTAACATTCCTCCTTGCAGCAACACATATGGAAATAGTCATGCGATGATGGCGAACTGCCTTGGGCTTCAACGTTGAAGCGTGGTGCTCCAGAGCACGGACAATGGCCCTGGCTGAAAAGCTGGCATGCCAGATTCGTGTGACAAAGGGCATTCTAACCCCCATCTTTTCTCTAATGTGTGGCAACCGTTTTTGGATTATGTGTGTCAAGAAGATTGTGTTCATAACCCACCGAGATCTCACAGTAATATGTGGAAAGGTTTTTTGGTGTGAACTGTTAAGAATTCGATTTGATATTTTTAAGCAACATGGTTACGTAGTTTTATGTGCGGTGTGAAAAATGAATGGATATAAAAGAAAGCCTTTGTCGTCGTGCCTCCGACCAAAGACAGGATCTTGCATTCCGCTGACTTCTGCCATTTAGCCCCTGTTCTTCTGCAATGCCTTGCAGCTTTCCGGCACCTGAAGAGAGGCTACCTCTTCATGTACAACCTTGTGCAGTTCCTGGGCTACTCATGGATTTTCGTGAACATGACCGTTCGGCTCTTCATGCTGGGGAAAGGCAAGTGACTCTCTTCGCCCTCTTGTCCCTGCCGGCTGGTGCTCCATTGCCAAGTTCAATCCCTGGCTGCTCTCATTTAAAAGGTCCTTGAGCAGCAGTAGAGCAGCCCATGCAGAAGTTCAGGGCCGTTTCACAATAGATACAGCCACACCCCCTTCTAAGATTATACAATAATCTTGAAGTTATGCAATAATAAATGGGGATGCATTGCAGCAGTCAGTGCAGATCTCCATGTGTTGCCTTTGGGCTAGATCTGCTGTTTTCTGTGCACATACATGAGCAAATGATTTGGCGTGTTCCAGTGTCGTCTTTCAGAGTGACTTAAGTTGTGTTTACAGTGGTACCACATGTTAAGTACTTAATTCGTTCTGGAGGTCTGCTCTTAACCTGAAACTGTTCTTTTTTTTTTTTTTTAAGAAATTTTATTAAATTTTCAAAAGTTATAAAAATCATAAGGACAAACATAAAAAAACAAACAAAGAAAGAACATACAAAAGAAAGAACAAGTATAAGTTCATTTCCCTTTTTTTTTCTTAACCTTACTTCCCCGACCTCCTCATACCTTCCCTTACTGTATTCCAGTTTCTATTGATATTTTCAGCAAATCCTCTCCTTTAGCTTTATTTAAATCTTCACATTTCTTCCCTTTTTCTTAATCATTACAGCTAACAACCACTTAATTTCAAAGTCAACATCATTTCAACATTCCGTAATTTTACAGTATTTCTTAAGGTATTCTTTAAATTTCTTCCAATCTTCTCTCGCCGTCTCTCTTCCCTGGTCTCGAATTCTGTCAGTCATTTCTGCCAGCGCCATATAGTCTATTACTTTCATCTGCCATTCTTCCAGAGTGGGTAAATCTTGTGTCTTCCAATACTTTGCAATAAGTATTCTAGCTGCTGTTGTTGCATACATACAAAATGTTCTGTCCTTCTTTGGCACCAATTGGCCGACCATGCCCAGGAGAAAGGCCTCTGGTTTCTTCAAAAAGGTATACTTAAATACCTTTTTCAATTCATTATATATCATATCCCAGAAAGCTTTAATCCTTGGGCATGTCCACCAAAGGTGAAAGAATGTACCTTCGGTCTCCTTACATTTCCAACATTTGTTATCGGGCAAGTGATAAATTTTTGCAAGTTTGACTGGGGTTAGGTACCACCTATAAACCATTTTCATGATATTTTCCTTTAAGGCATTACATGCCGTAAATTTCATTCCGGTGGTCCATAACTGATCCCAGTCAACACTCATAATATTGTGACCCACATCTTGAGCCCATTTAATCATTGTAGATTTGACCGTCTCATCCTCAGTATTCCATTTTAACAGCAGATTATACATTTTTGCCAAAGTTTTTGTATTGGATTCTAACAGTTCTGTTTCTAGTTTAGATTTTTCCACCTGGAAGCCAATTTTCTTGTCTTTATTATATGTCTCCAAAATTTGATAATAATGGAGCCAATCTCTCACTTTATCTTTCAACTTTTCAAAACTCTGCAGTTTCAATCTGTCACCTTCTTGTTCCAAAATTTCACAGTATTTAGGCCAGGTTCCTTCCATGTTAAGTTTTTTCACAGCTCTGGCTTCCATTGGTGATAGCCACCTAGGCGTCCTGTTTTCCAGTAAATCTTTATACCTAGTCCAGACACTTAGCAGTGTTTTTCTGACAATATGGTTTTTAAATGCCTTATGAACCTTGACCTTGTCATACCATAAGTATGCATGCCATCCGAACGCATTGTTAAAACCTTCCAAGTCCAAAATATCTGTGTTTTCAAGAAGTAGCCAATCTTTCAGCCAGCAGAATGCTGCTGCTTCATAGTAAAGTTTAAAATCTGGCAGGGCAAATCCCCCCCCTATCTTTTGCATCGGTTAATATCTTAAATTTTATTCTGGGCTTTTTGCCCTGCCAGACAAATTTGGATATATCTTTCTGCCACTTCTTGAAACATTCTACCTTGTCCACAATTTGTAATGTTTGAAACAAAAACAACATTCTAGGCAACCTGAAACTGTTCTCAACCTGAAGCACCACTTTAGCTAATGGGGCCTCCCGCTGCCGCTGCGCCATCAGAGCACGATTTCTGTTTTCATCCTGAAGCAAAGTTCTTAACCTGAAGCACTATTTCTGGGTTAGCAGAGCCTGTAACCTGAAGCGTATGTAACCTGAAACGTATGTAACTTGAGGCACCACTGTACTTGAAATTCTGTTGTATGGAACTTGCACGTTCTTTTGAAGCGGAAGTCGCTTGCAGGATTCTTAAACTCTTGCTTTAAAGCATACAGAACTCCTCTTGGTGTGGGATCTTCCCACACATTCTTCAGAGTGACCCTAGGAGCCAATCCTCAGTGGCTGACTCACTTCCTTTCACTCTGATTGGCTGCAATTAGAAGGCTTCTTGGTGTTTACATAGTTTCCCTTTCATGCTGATTGGGCAACTCAAGGGCACTGCAAGAATAGTAATAGATCTTCAACACCCCCCCCAAACTCTGGACCACTACAGCTCTTATCTTGAACGGAAGGGGTTGGAAAGGAGGGGGGGGGGCTGCTGCTGTTTGGAATAGGCAAGATGGGACTCAATGGTTTGCCTCAATTTTGTTGTTGTTGTTGTTGTTGTTATCAGACATGTTAGTTGTTTGTTTTGCAGAGGCCTCCAGCCAACATACTTGAAAACACTTGAGTGGCTGAAGAAACCGTTCTCTGAGAAGCCTGACTCCAGAGTTCCCCTTGCAAAGTTCTCCTGTTCTTTTGATCCAGTCATTTTTCAATTTCCAAGGTGCACCTCTCTCTTTTTTTTAAGGAGTTCCAAAGAGTAACCTCCTTGTCTGCCTCTTTCTTGCAGACTCTTTCTTCGATACTTTCCACACAATGGCAGACATGATGTACTTCTGCCAGACGCTGTCTCTCATTGAGATTGTGAACACACTGATTGGTCTGGTTCGGGCTCCTTTCATGCCTGTCATCCTCCAGGTAATTGCACTTAGAGAGCCAGCAACCCCTCTCTGGTAACCCCAGGGCCCATATTCCAAACTTGGCCAGGGCCTCCTGGCTCCCATCTAGGCCAAATGCCCTTTATTTATTTCTCTTTCTCTTTCTCTGCTGGAGTTCCAGCAGAAAGGGGAGGCTGTGGCAGAGCCCTCCCCAATTGTGCACCTTAGCTTCTCTCTCCTGGAGTGGCAGTGACTGTGTCAAGGTCACCCAGAGGGCTTCATGACCAAGTGTGGGATTTGAACCCTGTCTCCCAGGTCCTAGTCCAGCGCTCTAACCACTGCACCACATTGAGCCTTATCGTTCCTCTGGGGAGCTCAAGGTGGCCTATGTGGTCCTCCCCAGTTGTATCTCCACAGCAACCCTGTGACATAGTTCCAACTGAGAAGAGTGACTGGCCCAGGGTTGCCCTGTGAGCTTCATGGCTCAGTGGGGATTAGAACCCTGGTCTCCTAGGTCCTAGCCTGGCACTCTGACCACTACACCACCCTGGTTTGATCCTGCCTGTCTCCAGACTTGGGCCTGTGTTCATGCGGGCAGCCTTAATTGGCAGTCTGGCAGAGCCTTTCACACATTAATTTCTGTTCTCCTTTTCACGGGAAGAGGAGCTAAATCACATGGAGGTCAATTGCTTTCATGATCTGGAAGCATGTTGAATACAGTACTAGCTCCCTCCTGCCCTCTGGCTTAGAGACATGCAGACACAGAGTGTGCTACGTGTATGCCATTTCTCTGTTCCAAACGCTTCTACGTCTTTCTCTCCCCTCTTCCTGCCCAGGTCTTTGGGAGAAACTTTGTGTTGTTAATTGTCCTTGGAGGTGTGGAAGAAATGCAGAGCAAAGCTGTCGTCTTCTTCATCTTCTATATTTGGAGCATGGTGGAGATCTTCAGGTATCAGGGAATCTTGCTTTGCAGTCCCAGGCTGCTCTGTCCAGCCATGCAATGGCCCATCCAGTCCAATTTCTCACAATGGCCAGCCAGATGCCTCAAGAACACCCTCCCCTTCTGTGGTTTCCTCTATGGCACACACCCCGATACTGCCTCTCCCTTCCATATTCAAATCTTTCCTCAACACAGAACACAGCTGAGAAGCTCAGGCTTAACCCTTTCATTTATATCTCCGCTGAAAGGAAGCCACTGTCTGTGCTTTGGCCTGCTCAGCTTAACCCAGGCTTCCTCCAACTCAGTCCTCCAGATGTTTTTGAGACTACAGCTCCCATAATCCCTGACCACTACTGCGAAGGTGCCTGCCTGGTGTCAGTAGGCAGGGAGTTCCAAAGTACAGGTGCTGCCACACTCAGGGAACAGCTACTTGCAGGCAGACATTGTGTGGCGCTTGCAGAAGTGCAAGATCCGCAAATTGAGGTGATAGACTTGGCTCGAGCCGGGTTAATTAGTAAATTTAGTTAATTTGACCAAATTTGTCTATACCACTTTAATTATAAAAATCTCTAAGTAAATATAAAGTATACATAACATTAAATATATATATAAATAAATAATACATATAAACAATTACCGTATTTTTTGCTCTATAAGACCCACTTTTTCCCTCCTAAAAAGTAAGGAGAAATGTGTGTGTGTCTTATGGACCGAATGCAGGCTGCGCAGCTATCCCAGAAGCCAGAACAGCAAGAGGGATTGCTGCTTTCACTGCGCAGCGATCCCTCTTGCTGTTCTGGCTTCTGAGATTCAGAATACTTTTTTTCTTGTTTTCCTCCTCCAAAAACTAGGTGCGTCTTGTGGTCTGGTGCGTCTTATAGAGCGAAAAATACGGTATTCCTGCATTCCAGGGGGTTGGACTAGATGCGCTAGACACCTTGGGATCCTTTCCAACTCTACAATTCTAATATATGAAAATCAGCAGTTAAAAGTATACACTGTAAAATACAATTACTTATTAAAACACATGTCAACTTTACACTTCTGGGTAGGGCTTGTCTAAATACAGTTTTAGCAGGTGCTCAAAACAGAGCATCAAAGGCCATAATATTTTTTTTTTGTGCTCCCCCACAAGTCCCATCCAAATTCTTAATGTATTTTTTATTTTAATGAGGGCACCAGGTTGAGGAAGCTTTTTATTGTTGCATTTGTATCCCACATTTCTTCCACGGAGCTCAAAGTAGCAGACATGGTTCTCCTCTTCATTTTTTCAGAGTCTGGGATGTAGGTTAGAGGCTGAGAGACTATGACTGGCCCAAGGACACACAGTGAGCTTTCATGGCTGGGTAGGGATTTGAACCCTGGTCTCCCAGGTGCTAGTCCGACACTATAACCGCTACGCTACCCTGGCTGTGCTACGTCTTTTCAGCTTGCTGCCATTGTTCATGCTTTCTCCTTCCTGGGGGGTATTGGGTGGCTAAGCCTGATGAGCCACTGACTTGCAGGGCTTCCCTTCCAGGTATCCGTTCTACATGCTCTCGTGCCTCGATATAGAATGGAAGATCCTGACCTGGATTCGATACAGCATCTGGATGCCCCTCTACCCTCTGGGGATCTTAGCAGAAGGTATGCTGGAGAGACAGAGGCGACTGTGTCAACACCCGTTACCTAGCACCGCAAACTTGCCATCCAACGCCACTCAAGGCTCAGAAGCAGCCTGTGCCAGGTGTGGGGAACCTGTGGGCTTCCAGATGTCACTAACTACAAGCCCCATCATCCCCGGCCCTTGGCACTGCTTGCTGGGGCTGATGGGAGTTGCAGTTTAGCCACATCTGGGAGGTTAAAGGTTCCCCCACCCCAGCTCTGTGCTGAAAATCTGATCTTCATCACCATCCCAGGAATGGGCTCCAACTTCCATCATCCTGGATCGTTGGCTGTGCTGGTTGAGGCTTATGGCAGTTGGAGTCTATCAGTATCTGGAGGGATAACATTTTCTCCAGCGCTGCCCTAGTCCTGGGTGCCTGAAGATTGGAAGCAATTCTTCCAGCCTTGATTGCGGTACATTTGCCTGGTTTTCTGAGCTCCCTGCCTCCTGTTGTTCACGTTCTCGTGTTTTGCTGGAGACGAGGCTGAACGAAGCTGCATGTAAACTGTAGCGCTTTGCTCTTCCCCGCAAGATGCCTTGACCTCAAGCCCTATTTCCTTCTGTTTCCAGCTGTCTCCATCATTCAGGCTATTCCCATCTTCAGCAGCACCGGGAGATTTAGCTTCATGCTGCCCTACCCGCTGAACATCACCATTCCCTTCTCCCTTTTTCTCCAGTTCTACCTTGTCTTCTTGTTTCTAGGTGAGTTTCAGATTAAAGTCTGCAAACAAGGTAATGTGGGATTGGGGTGGACTTCATGAGGACTAGAATTGTTCTTGGATAACTTGGTGGTGGTGGTAGTAGTCATAATAATCAACATCATCATAGTATCCTGAACTCTCCTCCCAGGGTAAGGTTTTGCACAAAGCTCTGCAGAGTTAGGGGTCGTCATAAATTGTGACTTTGCTTTACATTCCTTTCCCCCCCAAAGAATTGCTGGCAAAGTCCATTTCCTGCCCTCCCTTCTCCAATCTTTGTTTGCTAAGGCAGGAACAGAGCCACACCAAGTGAATAAATACTGGCACACAGCCCCTGCTGCAGTTGTTTAAGGGGGAGGGGCAGTTTGGGGCCTTACAAGGCCAGAAGGGCATGGTGAGAGGCCACTATTCACAGAGGTACATTACTCATTTATTAAATCTCTATCCTGCCCTTTCTCGAAAAAGCACCCAAGGCCGGAGACATTGAATAGTTCAATCATTACAATTTAAAACCATCTACCAGCATGTTAGACTGATAATTTGGGGAGCTTGAGTACCAGTACTCTCTCTCTCTCTTTCTTGGCACTACTGGCCTTGGGAGTTCAGACTTTTTTCTTCCTCCAGGGCCGTTTGTGAATTTCCGCTACCTCTACAAGCAACGGAAGAGACACCTTGGACCCAAAAAGAGGAAAATGCACTAGGCCGGAGCCTGGAATGGTTCCTTTCTCTTCTTCTTCTAATCTACCTTGAAGGCAGGGTTAGGGCTCTCTCCTAACGGTTTTACTTACCCTGTTGATCTGAAAAACCAGTTTTGTACAGTTATAGCCAACATGCATCTCCCCTCCCACACAAAGATGGATCCAGGTGACATTCCCCACCTCCCAGTTAGGTCCAGCGACTCTTTGGTCAACCTGAAAGGCTGAGCCAATAGTCGTAGCCCTTGTGTCCTGTGCTACCTGCAAATAAAAGTGACCCCCCTTGGTGGGAACACAACTCCTTGCCATCCAGGAGCTGAGCAGTGTTTGCCTGGCTAAGTCCACAGGTGGAGGCAAGAGCTTCTCCACACAGAAAATTATTTATTTTTATGGGTTTTCCCAGTATCAAAACCTTTGGAATGGTCCCAGAGCAGGGAAGCTAGCTGGTCACTGCTTGTTGCTGAGGCTCCCAAGCCAAAGTCCTGAGCAGGGTGGTAACCTTAAGCACCCCTTCCTCTAGCCAAAAATGGTGTGCTGGTGGTTTTTTGAGGCCTGCCTCTCTTTCCTTCTCTCTGCAGTGGAGATGGTAAGTCAGAGGCCCCCCTTCTCCCTCAGAATTGCTACTGGCATGCCCTTACTATGCACATCAGGAGTGGGGCACCTGTGACCCTCTAGATAGGTGTTTCCCGAACTTGGGTCTCCAGCTGTCATTGGACTACAACTCCCATCATCCCTCGCTAGCAGGACCATTGACACCCAAACACTGCTCCAAATGTTGCTGGACTGCAACTCCAACTAATTCTGAGTTGGACATGCAGGCAGGGACCAATGGGAATTGGGAGTCCCAACATCTGGAGGACCACAGCTTCCCCACCCCTGGATTCATTCTTTTCTTACGTCTGTATTCTAAACCGCTTGATGTGGAAGGACATCCTGTTGATTCAGAACTTCTGCAGAAAGACACCTGTTGTTTCTAGAGTTGGCTTGATGGGACCTCCTCCAGCTCACCACCCAATATCACAATTCTGTTTCTGGTGCAAGAAGGCTTTTGGGTGGCTCCACTAGACGTGCTTTGTCTTTGACGGGTCTAGGAAAGGCACCATCCTGCCTTTAGAATTGGGTTGGGGGGAGAAGCACTATTTATCCACCAGACTGGGCACAGGCACCCTCCTCAGGGCCAATTTGGAGGTGACACTTTCACCTTAATTTACTCCAGGAGGGTAAATGGTGGGGTTTGGGGGACCCAAGTCCTGATCTGCCAGTAGTGACACTGACTTTCAACCATAGCACACAGGGCACCTTACTTAGCCCTTTCCATTGCTGTCCCATCTGTTAAAATTACAGTCTAGGGTGCAGGCACTTTTGTCATGAAATCTGTATTTGCTGGTCTTTCGGGAGGCAAATAGAATGTGTATTTCTAATAATAAATATTTAAAAACGTCTTTTGTGCACTCATTGCCGTTTTCTTTTTTCTTAAAAAAAACTAAACAGGATTTGGGGTGAGTAAAGGTAAAGGTACCCCTGCCCGTTTGGGCCAGTTTTGCCAGACTCTAGGGTTGTGCGCTCATCTCACTCTATAGGCCAGGAGCCAGCGCTGTCCGCAGACACTTCCGGGTCACGTGGCCAGCGTGACAAGCTGCATCTGGCGAGCCAGCGCAGCACACGGAACGCCGTTTACCTTCCCGCTATAAAGCGGTACCTATTTATCTACTTGCACCCGGAGATGCTTTCGAACTGCTAGGTTGGCAGGCGCTGGGACCGAACGACGGGAGCGCACCCCGCCGCCGGGATTCGAACCGCTGACCATGCGATCGGCAAGTCCTAGGCGCTGAGGTTTTACCCACAGCGCCACCCGCGTCCCGTTGGGGTGAATACAGTGCTTAAATTATAACGATGGCAGATATTCTACCATGGTCAACATTGGAATGAGTTATGCCTCCTATTTACATATGCGTATTGGTATGTCTGTTAGTCATAAATAAGGACCCTGGCAGAACAGAGGGAAGCAAAGCAGAACCTGCGTGGCTCTTGGAGTGATACTGGAATAATTTACAACACGGGTCTCTGGCTCAGCACCCCTTTCCCCTCATGCCCCACCCATGGCCAGAGAGTGGGGAAAGGTCTGCTTGAGTGCTTCTGCTCCTTCCCACTATTGAAATGTTTTCCCTTACAGCTTTCCACCTGCATAATGTATCTCTTGAACCCCCTGATCTACAAGGGGGTTCACACTCCTCTTTGTGGTCATCGCTTCCAGTCAGTTCAACAGCATATGACATTACTCATATCCCCTCCAACCTGCCAGTTAACAGAAGCAGAATTCTGAGCTCTGGCTGTTGCAATTCACCATCAATGCCCAAGTTCAGTCTTGGTGAAAATGTGAAATGAATGACTAGAGTGGGGAATTCAAAAAGTGCTACCATTTGAGAACCAGACTCTTAAATGCACATCAAAAGTGCCTGCCAGTCACACTGTTTAAATAGCAGCAGGGTTTGGGTGTTTTTTTGTTTTGTTTTTTTGCTTTTTCTTTACACAGCCCAGCTTCCAGAAAAAATAGTTGTCCTAACTTTCTCTCCAGAGCAGAGGTGGGGGACTTGAGCCAACCAGTTCCAGACCATCTTCTTTAAGCTGTTTTGACGGGGGGCAGGGCTGCCCAGCAGTCAATCACCTGATGTAAAATGACATCACTGTTCAAGCCATGGGAGCTATGTCCAATCTTAGTGCTATAGAACCAAAGTGCAGGGGAAAATTTATCTCTGCAACTGACAATGGTTTACCTAAATAGCCCCAAGGTGCAGAAGTCCCCACTGTTGATGTCTTTTTACATTCCTTGTTCAGGAAACCTTTGGAAGGGTATGACGGCTTTCAGGAGTACTGTGTTGGTTTTAGGGATTTCTAAATTCTCCCTTCCTCAGGGCCTGTGATATGAAGGAAAGAGGAATGAAAATGTAACAAATTTAATAATAAAGTCCAGTCTGCCCTTACAGAGCAAGCTTGGAATACAACAGTTAAGAAAACCATCAATGATGGGCAAAGTTTGCTTTAGAGGGTCATCACAGGCGCTCTGTCCCACTGCTGGAGAAGTCTGTCTGCAGAGGTGTGATGTTGTGGTCATAGGTGGCATATTCCGAGGTGCCACTGCCTGCCATTTTGAGCTGCTGAGCAGCGTGGGTAAGCTGGAAGGCGGCATCTGGGTGGGCTGTGTCTGGCAGCAGGGTGCATTCCCTTTCGAGTATATCTGCTACGCCTTTCAACAGGTCCCAAAACCCAAGGGCTAAGGCTGCCTTTCGCAAGCGATTCAGCTCCTAGAAAGGAGTTAAGAGAGAGACAGCAGTGTTGGTGTCAGTTGAGACTGATAGGGTGTAACGCAGGAGGCCAACAGTAGGTGGAGCCTGAGTCAATTCTAGTTTTATCCCAGATTTCCTCCCCAACTTTCTACAAGTGCAACACTGAGACAATGGAGGAGAAAGCTGACAGCCAGTGCGATCTTCTACTGTTCCCCGTTCTCCCTAGTGGACCAGCCTCTACTGTAGAGAGAACACTTTTTAATCAAGCACTTGTGCAGTACTGGGAGGTCTTAAAATTATAATGTCATCTGAATGGGGGGGAAATAAAAAGTCTAGTGCAACACTAAAGTAGAATGAGTTAATCATTCCCTCTAAACGGGTGCTTCTAAAATCAAAGGATAAGGGATGTGTGTGGCTCTCCAGATGTTGCTGGGTGTGGTGTGTGTGTGTGTGTGTGTGTGTGTGTGTTGAATAAACATCTGGAGAGCCACAGATTCCTTATCCCTGTTTTAAATGCATTAAGGCCAGAGGCTTCTACACTTTGTCTCACTGGATAGTACTAGCATACACGCTGCTGTTGTCTGCCAAGGATCTGTGCATGTTGCATAGGATTCTGGGGTGCACCTCTGAAGGTATACAGTTCATTTAAGCAGAACACTGGCTATTTCATTGTATGTAAACAAAGAGTGCGCTTCAGAACACACACAACTGCACGTTACACGGGAAGGGGGTGTACATTGTCCTCTTTCAGGGAAGTCTGCCGCCAGCTACTAACTCCTCCACTGAGAAACCTCTGAACCAACCAAGTACAAACCAGGGCTCTCCAGCCCTGAGCTGGAGAACAGCTGCTCTAAGCCAACTATGCCAGCTCTCCCTGCTGCTAAGACACAACTAGCTCTCTCTGTTCTACCAGTGAAGAAAAGTGCACTGGGTGAGTTGCAATTTATTCGCCTATGCAAGCGAGTCCCTGGAGACCAGGGTGCCACGGGAGCCTGCTGCTCTCACCTTGTAGAAGGTCTGTGTTTTTTCAGGGAGCTTCCTTGCATTCCTAAGTATCTTCTGCACATCTGTCTGCGGGGAAAGGAAAATGACAATATGCCTGGTTTGCTGGAGCTTGAAATTACATCCCCCACCCCCTTACAAAAAAGGACAACTTCACCACCACACACCCTCAAAGCCCCTTCCTGCACAGTAGCGTTCTTAATGGGGAATACGCTTTACTGCTCAGAAACCTTGGAACGGTACCAGAAGTTGACAGCAGGCTGACATGAATGCTGTGAGCACCAAGGTGATCTGCCCACACCCAGAAGCAAGCCACCCACTTCTTGCACCAACAGAAACCTCCAGACGATCTTCATTATTTTATTATGGCTGGAGAACTGAGGCAGAGAGATTAGTACATCTTGCCCGAGTCTACTGAGGAGGAGTAGACCAGGAGCTGAACTCTAGTCTAATTCCACGAGGCTTCACTTACTGCATTTATGGCCCTACCTCTCCACACACCCCCAGGAGCTGAAGGGGGCATATGTGGTTCTGTCCCTCCCCATTTCATCCTCACAACCAGCCTGCAAGGTAGGTTATGCTGAGGGACTTGAACCCTGGTCTCCCAGGTTCTGGTTCAGCACTCCTAACTCCTAATCCCCGTAGCCGTTGTCCAGCAGCAGGTTGGTGTAAAAGGTTGTTCCATGTGCCCTGGGGCTGCACACTGAAGGTGGGGGGCAGGAAAGTGGCCTTTCAAGAAAGCGGGCCCAACCTTCTGGGCTTTCCCTCCCACTATGGAGCGTCTATCAAACTGAAAGCCTCTTGAGAATCCCCTCCCACACACAGACCTGGGAGCACAAGAGAAAGTGGATGCCTGCTGTGGGCTTTGAATTCAGCCCTCTGCTCACCTGGAGGCCATTTTGTTTAATCCACACTGTTACATTCTGTGCATAGCTGCGTTTATTCTTGGGTTGCAACGGAAAGGGACTCTTGTTGTCATCTTCGCCATATGGGTTCTCTTTAGCATCTGAAAGGAAAACGAATCGCTGAAGAACGAGACCACTTCCAAGAAAGCAAAGCAACTGAACGTATGGACTGGGTGCTTGAAAAGGGGACCCTAAAAAATTGTCAAGAGATACGCAGGACACAAGAGCCCTTGATCCAGGGCGGAACATGCACACCAAAAGTTCCTGTGTGCACAGAACCTCACCATTTGCACACCAATGGTTGGGGCAGTTCTGTGAGCAAAAAGAGGGAACTACATCTGGAGCCTTCGCTGAAATGAACGGGGAAGCTGTGGTATAGAACTCATGGACCCAACAGGGGAGGAAATGGGCTTGGGAAGACTAGTGTCTCAAACGCCATTCAGACAGGCATGACCCCTACCTGAGATGGGGCCAAGTTGGGCCATCTTCCCCAGCCAAGGAAGAGGCTCCGGACCCGGCTCAAAGAGAGACATCATGAGGTTGGACTTCTTCTTGCTGTCAGCCTGAGAATACAGCATCCCATACCATTCAGGGCTGAAAAGAAAAGCAGAACATCCACAAGCAGTTCTACCATTCTTGCTCCAAAGAAAACACCCTGGCCAATTGGGACTGGGCATTCCCTTTCCCTGCAGCTTCTCACTACAAGAACAGACAGAAGTCACAAATGATCTGTCATATGAATAGCCTACTGGATCAGGCCAATAGCCCATCCAGTCCTGTTCTCACAGTGGCCACCCAGATGCTCCAACGGGAAGCTTGCAAGCAGGACCCAAGTACAAGAGCTTTCTCCCCTCCTGTGGTTTCCAGCAACTGGTATTCAGAAGCATTACTGCCTCCATCTGTGGAGGCAGAGCATAACCGTAATGGCTAGTAGCCATTGACAGCCTTCTCCTCTATGAATTGGTCCAGTCCTCTTTTAAAACGATCCAGGTTGGTGGCCATCACTGCCTCCCAGGGGAGCAATTTCCATAGCTTAACTATGCACTGAATGAAGTGCTTTATTTTATCTGTCCTGAATCGTCCAGCATTCAGCTTCACTGGATGTCCATGCATTCTGGTGTTATGAGAGAGGGGAGAAAACCATTTCTCTATCCACTTTCTCCATGCCAGGCATTATTTCACAAACTTCTACCTGCCCTCTTCTTCTATTAATTTTCAGGAAATGTTTAGGGACACTTTGTTCCAAGACCG